GGATTTGGCGTTCTTGACAAAATTAGATCACAAAAATTGGAACTTTAAAAGAGAGTCACGTCATATTGAAGTTTGTTTGAAATAAATAATACTTATGATTATTATTTTGCTAGAAATGTATATAAAATATTTAAATGTGTGTCCAGTACTACATATCCTAGAAAAACCTTATCAAATTAATATTTGTTTTATAAGAGTAAAATAGTTTCAATTTAGTTAACTAAAGTAGACATGTGAATATACATGCGATGACACAATCAAGGTAGAATGTTACTTGTTTAATTAACGTGGTTTTCTACTTTTACTAGGGAAAGACACTTTTTTTCAATTTTCAAGAACTTATTTTCTTAGAAAAAATATTTTCCAATTTTTTTTATCAATCGAAGGTAGGAAAATTGGAAAATATTTTTCTACCGAACATAACATTCTTTATATATATTTTTTAATTAAAAAAGAGCAGCTTCTTTATTTGACTAAAACCATCCTTAAGGAAAAAATAATGTTTTGAAGATTCATAATTAAGATTCATTTTGAATCACCTGCCATAAATGTTAATCAACTCGAAAGGGATTTTTATATGATCATCTTCCTTAATTAAGTCTTTGTTGATATTTTCTGGACTTAATTATTTACGACAATTAATACTCTCTTTGTCCATTTTAATTGTCATGGTTTCCTTTTTTTAGAGTCAAACGATAAAAACTTTGACTAATATTTTATGTCATCATATTGATATGCAAAAAATGCAATTTATAGTACTTCTCGTATAGTTTTTGAATATCTAATTTTTTTTGTTTAAAATATCAAATTAGTGTAATATAATTTAACTTTAAAAATTAGTTAAATTGACTTTCAAAAAACGAAATATGACGGTTAAAAGTGCAAGTACTCATTTCCTCTTCTAAAAGAGGATAGATTGTTAAGATAACTTAATTAAATATGCTTTACCTAACAAAATCTTTACTTATTAGAGTTTAATTTTCTTTTCCTTTTTTTTCTTTCCAAAGGATAACTTTCTAGCTTAAAGTTATTTGACGAAATTAATTTTGGCTTTATAGTATCTACAAATTCGATTCTTTTTTCTAGTACGGGGATAAGATTCTTATCCTAAGAAATAGAAAAGGAAAAAAAGGAAATAATGAAAATTGAACTCACACTTATCGTTGTGAAAGACTTGTATCGTATAATTAAATTATATAATGACAATTACTCTATTCGTTCATTTTTAGTTGTTATATTTGGATTTGACATGTTCGTAAAGAAAATGATAATTGACATAAGTTATTAATACTGGGTAAAATATAGAAAAAATAATAATTATCCTTTCTGCATATGCTAAATATGACAAGTAAAAGTGAAAATTTATTTTTAAAATAGTGGATATGTAAAAATGAACGAGGAAATAATATGTATATACTGATTCAGTGCCTGAGTGTTACATGTCAATTTAGAACAGTAAACAGGTAAAATTGAACAAATGAAGTAGAATATATATAATTCATACTTTTTTTTCTTCCCTTTTTTTGTCTAATCCTTAAAAAAGCAAATTTTGTTTTGTTTAGTTATTTCTCTTTGTTGCGTCAAATTTATTTATAGATTCACAAAGGAAAAATCCTTTGCATTTCCTAGATGGGTAAATTAATCTGAAAATTATACCAAACCAACAATTCTGACATGGAGTGTCTTCTCTTAAATAGACCTTATGCAACGAAAATTCAAAATAATAGGCCTTGTAAAATTTAAACACCAAATAATTATATAAATTAAAATATAATATTTTGATTTAATTATTCAATCTCCACCCCCTTGATTTGGCATTTAATTTACGTGACATAGAGGTAGTTTGTAAGTTGTTAGAAGTTATAAAAGCATTTTTTATAAAATAATTCATTTTCTGACAATCAAATTTCTCCTAAAAAATTATCCTGTTGTCCCACTATGTCCGGATATTAATTGGTTGTAATAATAACAAAAAAAAAAGTATTAGCAATTGAACTTAAAAAAGTAGTACTAAAACAAGATTGAGATGTTTATATAAGTATTTTAAAGTTAAATTATTATTAAATATAAATTATTATTATTTTAGAATTACTAAAAAAAGAAAGTGTGTCATATAAATTAAGAAGAAGAAGTATTTGCTTATACTAGCAAAACAACCGTGTACAACACGTACTCCATTTGTTGTTCCTTTTTAGTTGTTATGTAGCAATTTTCGAAAGTCAATTTAATTAACTTTCGAAGCTAAATTAGATTACTGGGTATGTTGTTGTTGTTGTTGTTAATTTGATATTTTAAAATAAAAATTTAGAATATTCAAAAACTATACGAAAAATGTTACAAACTGTGATCTTCTTTCATATTAATGTGATGAAAAAATACATTTTAAAATGTTAACCTAAGTTTATATCGTCTGACTAAAAAAGGAAAATTGTGAATTATATATGACAACTAAAAAGGAACCGAAGAAGTATAAATAAGCCATAATGCTCAACTATATTGTGTAATTTTTATTGTCAAATTTAAATTTTAGTGAAATCCTAAAAAGAATAAATAGATAAATCATTGAGTAGTTTGATTGAAGATTTATGAACCAATTAGGTGAAAGGAATAAAACTAGACACGTGAGGTTGAGTACAGGTGATTACGACCGGCTACCTGAATGTGAATCTCAGACCCATTTACAAATTACAATTATGGCGCTTTTCTTGTCGTACGGTTTATACGGACATCTCTGTTTACCGGTCCCATACGTAGCCGGTAACAACCTCCATTTTTCATCTACGCGCTTTCAAATTTTCCTTATACTTCACGTCTCTCAACTCTTTTTTTTATTCATCCGCTATTTGAAGTCCACATTAAAGTTCCGATTAAATTTAGATTACGCACTATAGGATCTATTCAGGGTATGCTTTCAACGTGATTTTTTTCATATTTGGGGCTCGAAAGTCAAACCTGAGACCTCTGGTTCAGGCACGTCTCTCCACTATTCATATTAAAGTGAGATTTTTTTTTTTAGAAAATTGTATGAAATAACAAACTATTAATTCAAATTAAATGATATAGTCATAGTTTATTTTAATGGTAATTCGTAGCAAACATCCCCTTTTTTGCTATCTAATTCGGTATACAATTAGCCATTTTATACATTTCGATATAAAATGCGTTTGTGTTTGTATAAAGCGAGAGAAGAATGTTTATACAAATACATGCATTTTCGTCATATACACTTATAATTATACAAATACAGATCTTATTATATAAATTACATGTATAAATGAATTTATACAAAACTGAACAATTTGTATAAAATTGAATATTTGTAGCGAATTATACAAATCAAAAGCTCCATAGCAAACATAAAATTTGCTATGGAACGCAATTATGCAAACTATAGCTATAACATACAAATATGATTTTTATTTTTGCTATATGTGAAAGTTGCTCTTTTTTTTATTATCAAATTTTATTGGAAACAATCTCTAAGTCTTCGTATCCACTAATAAAATGATATTGCTAACCTTTATTAGAACTCTTATTTTTTTTTATTCAAACTCATAATCTTAAGATTGAAAGTGAAAAATAATTATGCGTTGTTGCTCAACTTTCAGTTCGAAATAACAGAAAAAAGATGCGTATAATAATGTAGAAAAGTCTGCAACGAGAAAAATGTGATCGTGATGGTTTTGGTATCTAGGGACAAGGTTTGTCTATTTTTTTTTGTGTACGTGTAAGGAAATGATTGAATTTTAAAAAAATAGTAGTACTATTGAAACTAAAATAATTACTCCAATAAATAAGTTTTCACAAATAATTGTTCATAAAGAACAATTTTTTGAGACTGTAATTAATTCAAGCAGATATGTCATATAACCTTCTTTTTCCTCCAAATTATTTTACAAAAGTTTTTTCGAAAACTAATTTATCAATCGTCATTAATTAAACAATCATTTCATACATCATGACGTCAATTAGCTTCTAGACTTTTTATGTTGTTTGTTGTATCTTGTGAGTCATTTCTATAATTTGTTGCATTTTCCACATGATTTGGCAAGTGAAAACCACCTCAATAAATAATGTTTTGGATTGGGATTACTTGAAAACGATTGCGAAAGTTATACCTTATAGTTATATATAATCGCAAAAATTTGAAAGAGTTAATACTAATCGAATTTTTATGATTGTGCTACTTTAGAGTTGATTCTCATATGGTACTCAACTATAGTTTTTTTTTTTTTCAAAATTTTTTTGTTGAAAGAAAATTAAAATCAAGAAAATAACGACGTTATGCGTGTATTATCACTTCATTGGCTCCACCTAATTATTATAGATAGGTCGTGTGTGTATTCTCACTTGATTGGCTCCACAAAAATAAGTGCACTTTAGTATAACAAATCTATTAAGAAATTAACAAATACAATATGTAGTTTACTAAATTATAAGATTTTAAATATTAATTTTCAAATTCCAAATATAACTTTTAGTGCTATTTAGAATTCACTCATTTCTTATAAAAAAAATGAAAAAACTCTTACTCTTTTGGTTTTATTTAATGTGACATCGTTTGACTTAACACAAAATTTAAGAAGAAAAATAAATAAAACTTGTAATCTAAAATAATATTTAAATATTTATCATTTCACTAAGAATAAATTGAATATTTTTTTAATAATAAATTTTAAAAAAATATGTTATATAAATTGAAACTCCGTATCAAACACTTAAAGGTGTTTCTAAAAATCTCAAAAGGCAATGTCACCTTTCATGAAGAAATGACAATACATAAATATACCAATTAGTGACACATCCATAAGATAGGATAAGAAAGTTTCCACTACAAAAAATTGAGGTGACTTATTATTAAAATAGTCAAATACCTTAAAAGTACGTGTGGTCCACGCGTCATTAGTGAGAGTAGAAAAAAACCAACAAGAAACACAACAACTCATTAATAATAATACTAATAATTAAACAAAACAAATTAAAATAAAAAGACTAAAACAGTACTTTAATTGAATATTATCTTTCTTTATGACTCATTTTTTTGTTTTCGTACATATATCCCCCACTTCCCATGTCTTTCTTCACATCTTCCACCAAAAAAAAAAAGTGCAAAAGGGAATAAAAAAAAAGAAAAAAGAACAACACCCATTTCACCATTTTACCTTTGATCTCCAAGATTTGCTCAAAAAAATAAAAAAGGAGAGTTTTTTATTTTAGGTTTGTTGAATTTCATGGAGTTCAAGAAAGTGGATTGTTCAATTTGTGCTGTTTTTGTTGTTGTACTTGTGCTATGTACTGGTTTAGTTAGTGGGGGTGATATAGTTCACCAAGATGATATTGCTCCAAGTCGACCTGGTTGTAGCAACAATTTTGTTCTGGTAATCTTCTGATTCTTGATTTCAACTGTTTTTTAGTGTTTCAGTTCAAAATTGAGTCTTTTTTTAGCTAAAAGTTGGTTAATTTTTCTGGTTCTCTTCATTCTTTAGCTACAAGAAGTTAGTTCACCAAATATGCTAGAAAAACTTAATTTTGGTGACATTGTTCTATCTGTACTGTACTGGTATTCTAGTTCTAGTTATGAATGGGGAATTGTAGGTTTGGTTTGTTGAGAATTGTGTGATTTTTTCCCCACTTCTTGTGTTTTTATTTTGGGGGTGTTTATGTGTGTTTTAATTAGTTGGTACTGAAATGAAATTTGATCTAACAGAGTGAAATTGATGTAGAGAATTCATAGAGCCGAACCCATTGAGACTATGTTACTTGATTGTTTGTGTTTGTCTGGCGATTTATCAACAATATTTGAGTGATATACTTGCTATTATTATGCTATATGTGTTTAATTATATTTATCATTTGAACAATTAAAGGGAACTGTGACATTAGCAATCAAGGGTGACCTTACGGTTGATAAAAGAGTTAGGTGATTTCTTCTTACCTATCTAAGTCCGAGGTGGATAAAGCTATCCAATGTCTGTAACGGGCAGGTATCGTGCGAAATAGTAGAGGTGCATGGGAGTTGCTGAAAAAACCACCTTTATCCAAATCACAATAAAAATGGTTTGGTTCACATTTTCTTTGTTTTGGTGCTGATTTGCAGCTTGACAATTAAGTTGCTAAGTTAGTGATATGATGCATCGCGTGCATACTTTATTTTTTAAAAAAAGGGAAGGATGCATTGGTTTTCTAGGCCCTCCCACCGTGCTCTCAATTTCTTTCCTCATTGTCCCATGGCATGTAAATTAAGAAATAAGAGTTTGAATGAAGTGGTGAATCTACTTTATTAAAAAGGAAAAAAGGTGGCGGATCTAGGATTTTAAATTAGCGAATGCAGATTATTATTGCACCCCTTACACTTTTCTTGAGGAGGGTGTAAATTTAGTATAATCTTTAGAAGTTCCTAATACACTCTCATAAAGAGGTTGAGACTAGAGCCGTGGGCGCTCCCACTTCCAGTTACTTGAAATTGCCCCTGATTGAGTGGCTTGCCATTTAAGAGTTATGTAAAAATATGATTGTACTTCCATAGTTCCTCTTCAGCAAAAATAAGATTGCACCTCCCCAATTAATATGATAGTACTTCGACAGTTCCTCTTCAGCAAAAATATGATTGCACCTCCCCAATTAATCTTCAGTTAATATATGATTATAGTTAATCACTTAATTGAATTTCGGAAGTGGGGAAGTTTGTTATCAAGATGTTGTATGGTATATCCTAAGTTGCTTGGACACTTCATTTATAACTCTAGAACAACATACCCAGTGTAATTCCACAAGTGGGGTGTGGAGAGGGTAGTGTATACGACTATATGTAGCCTTGCCCCTACCTTGTGAAGATAGAAAAGTTGTTTCTGATAGACCCTCTCGGCTCATATTTTTGTAACTCATTTTTAGATATTTGAATTATTTTTAGTTGAATCCCCGTACTCGTATCCATACCTAGATTTGTACCCCCGAATCTTTAATTAGATCATGAAAGATCCGACCTCTAGATCCGCATCCGTATAGGACACCTGCAACCAAATCCGAGCAACTTAGGTTATATAAAGACAAAAAGTAATATGGAACTCTACCTCTCAAGTTGAAAGTCCTTCAATGAGCCATTAGAAGTAATGGCCAACTTTCCTAGACAAGAAGCCCAAACAGGTGTTGTGTAACAAAATGACCCCCACTGAATACCATCTTCCCTTTTCCTAATCCTAATAAGAGATTATGTCAATGCAGGTTCCAGCATCTATACAATGTATAGTACCTTTTTTACTCTTTTCCCAAGTCTGATCACTTTCAACATGGAAAAACAAAAAGTGAAGAATAACCACTTTCGTGAATATTGGTTCTATGACCTCTCTTTTTCTTCCACTATGGGATATGAGGCATTAGGTGGTCCTAATTTTGATGTAAGCCCTAATTGGAACACTTGACTGTTGTATCTTATGCTCATATTGGATAGTCTTTGCATAAGATATCAGTCCAAAAGAATCTAAAAAGGTTGAACAAGATAGAACTGTTGTCAGTTTCACGTGGAAGCAGACTGCCGTTTAGATGTTACTTTAATTTTGCGTCAAATATTTTATTACTTGTATATGTTTATTGGAGTCTCTTTGTCTCACACTAGTAATTGGACATATTATCTAAATTCCTCAACTAGGTCAAAGTTCCGATCTGGGTTGACGGTATAGAAGTAACAGAGTTTGTTGGTGTTGGTGCTCGATTTGGACCGACATTGGAATCAAAGGAGAAGCGTGCTAATCAGACAAGACTGGCTTTTGCAGACCCTCCGGATTGTTGTAGCACACCTAGGAATAAGGTTGCTTCACATTTATTTCTCCTGTTGAAAGCATATTTGGCTGGAAACCTCAAAAAAATGTCATTTGTATAGTGAACTCAAAATTTAGGTTTCTAATATGTGTAGCTCACTGGTGAGGCTATCCTGGTGCACCGAGGTAATTGCAGTTTCACTACCAAAGCTAACGTTGCAGAAGATGCCGGTGCTTCAGCTATCCTCATAATAAACAACCAAACAGGTTCAAGTGCTCTTCCTAAGTATTATTATCTATGTTGTTTAAAAACTTCCAATATGAATTGGCTCATTCTTGATTGTCTTGTGGAAACTGCATTCAGCCAACCAACAGTCATGATTTATTTTTTGAACTACAGGCAGTGCTATTTCCTTATTATCAAATTTCAGTGATCAATTTTGATATTGTCTTGGAACGTCATCACAGTGTGCCCTATGGAAAAACTAAAATCATCCGATAAACTCCTGTATTACCACCATTGCTTAGTATCTTGATATGCACATGCAAACGGCTACATATAACTTATGTTCTCTTAATGCTATGTAGAGCTCTTCAAGATGGTTTGTGAACCCCATGAACATGACTTGGACATTGGTATCCCTGCTATCATGCTCCCACAACATGCTGGCACAAGCCTGATAAAGTTTCTTGGAAATAGCTCTTCTGGTGAGTCTCGTGGTATTGTACTTTTTTTGTAGGTCTATTTGGGAAGGGTGGGGGGGGGCACAGCTTATAGCTCCATTTGCATAGTTAGCTGAGATTATCTGACATGGTCTCTATTATTGCTGATTTGTTTCTGAAATAATGACTAAAAGATTTTCTGTCTTTCAGTTTCTGTACAGCTGTACTCTCCAAAGCGCCCAATGGTCGATGTAGCTGAAGTATTTTTATGGCTTATGGCAGTTGCTACCATATTATGTGCTTCTTATTGGTCTGCATGGCGTGCCAGAGAAGCTGCAATTGAGCAGGACAAGCTCTTAAAAGTAAAGTCACAAACATTCCTCTCCCTCTCCTATTTATTATTCCTGCTCTTTAGCAGCATCCCATGTATTTTGCGATTTTGAAGCATGAAACTCACTGCATCTTTCCTTAGCAGTTTGGTTGATATATGTATCTTAAATCTCACAGGATGGCTCAAATGAATGCAATGTCACAGAGGGGTCTCGTTCCGGTGTTGTGCTGGAAATCAACATAATATCAGCAGTTCTGTTCGTGGTGGTTGCATCCTGCTTCTTGATTATGCTTTACAAATTGATGTCCTCCTGGTTTATAGAGGTTCTAGTGGTTCTATTCGCCATTGGGGGTGTTGAGGTATGTCATACCAATAGAAGGAGACTTAATTCAAGGGTAGCAATACATAAGATTTTACGCAAATAACAAGACCCTAAATATGAATGGAAATCAGGACGTTATCTTTTTCATGTCACAATTCCTTTCATATTTGTTTCCATTGTAATTTCATCCATTGGCAACCCCTTTCATTAATCCATCTGAGTTAAGAACTTGCTAGCACATCCTTCACATGTAGGAAAGACGTGAATGGATTGAATGAGGTTTAAATCATTCATCTTCATGCGGATGATATTTGAAGTAACACCTTTCTCACATTGTCCTTACAGGGTCTACAAACTTGTTTGGTCGCTTTGCTATCATGGTATGTATCTTATTGGTGCTATTCATATATGATTTTCTTAGCTACAGTGTGTCAAATGCTCCACTAAGCAAAACCACGTTTGCGTTGTTTTCAGGAGAAGCTTTTGAGAAAAGTTTTCTGAAAGAAGTAAAGATTTTGTTTTGTTGTTTTATAGAAGTTTGTTAGAAATTAATTAAAAAAACTTCTTCAAATATCTTTATGATAAACTGTCCAAGCAAACGCTCTGCAAACTAGAAAGGCTAGCAAAGCTTTCCAGAAAAAGAAGTGGTTGGAAAGTGAAGTTTCAAACATGGAGGGTTGAGTAGGTTGGCTGATTTCATTGCCGCATATTTTTGTTCTGAACATCATCCATTGTCACTAGAAAACAAAGGAAAAACATCTCTTGCTTCAAGCAAATTCTCATTATTCTTACTTTTCCAACTGGCAGTCAGCACTCTTCTTTTTGGCTTCAGAAATTCTATAGTAAAACTGCTCCAAGAAAGACCAAGAATGAAAATCAATCTGTAATTAGGCAGCTGTGCATGGAAAACAAATACAAGTTTCACATCAACTTATACAATTGCATATTTAGATCTTGTTAAAATTCTATCTAGGATTCAGGGCCCGAAGCCTAATTAGTTAGAGTGATATCAGATCATATCTAATAGTGGATATGAAGCCCCCGTCATTGGTTTGAAGCAAGTTTAGAGCTAGTTTCTCTCTTTCTTTGGCACCACTAGCACAACTTATTTTTCTATTTCTGACGCTCTGTGATATGTTCTGCAATCCTGGCCCTTGGTAATATTGACCTGTGGTTGCATTGTGCATAGATCTTGATCATGTGATAATAAATACAAGTGAGATTCTTGCAGGTTTTGGTGGAACTGAATGTGACATCATTTTGTTGTTTTTCAAAACTTTTATTATCCCTCTGTCCAACAATAGTTGTCCACTATTGACTTGGCACACCCCTTAAGAAACTATAAATAGAAGGGTAATTTTACTATATCACCCTTTGAATATAATAAATACAATGTCTTGAAAAATGTAATAGGGAAATGACTATAATTAATGATAAGGGTAAATTAGGAACTAAGTGTAAAATTATCCATGGATTTCATAAAGTGGACAAGTATTGTTGGGCATCAATTTTTAGTATAGTGGACAAGTATTGTTGGGCAGAGGGAGTAATAGCTTTCTTGGAAGTCAACAAATTAAAAGGCAAAATGGAAAAGGAATTTCTTGTTCTCTAACTTCACATGTTATCCCCTCAATGTTTTACATCACACTTTTCAAGCGTTAACCGCGATTATATTTTCCATCATAAATGGCCACAATCATACACAACAGTAGCAGTCACATTAGCATTACATGTTCGTTCTTTTGAAATTCTGTTTCCATAAACCTGCCTTTTGAGAGGCATTTACCTTCTTACCGTACCTATGTAGGAAGAAAGGCTTTTACCATCTCAAAGTTTGACTGTACCATTGTTTTAAACTTCTCAACCAAAAACACCAACCATTTATGAGTGGCATAAAGAAAGATTACGGTCGCTCTTTCTTCAAAACAAAACAAAGATTACGGTTGTTGCTGTAAATCATCCAACATCTGTTGTTTAAACATGATCACAAACAGTAACGCATGATGTTCCTTTCTAATAACGATTTGGCCATGTGAAATGTTGTTGTTGATCTTTTTACATCCTTTCATGTGTGATGGGTCATTTAGTTCCCACCAGAGTAGTACTAGTTATTAAGGTCCAGCTTTGCGTGCTTTGATGAAAGTGACTGTGGCTTAGACCTTCACTGTAAAGTACAGCTGTACAGGAGCATTATCAAATATGCCTTTTATCCTTCTTTTCCTTTTCTTTTGCTGGGAGGAGGGGACATGTACTCTTTCAGATCACCCTGGGCGTGTGCTCTTTCATTGTGGTGCATTATATACACCTTGTAATCAATTGTTTTTGTCAAAGTCTTTGCTACCAAAATCTTATTTATATTTTCTTGAAATAAGATTTAAGTTCATTTTACATGCCACAACTCAAGTTGCTGGTGGTTCTTAGAAGTGTAGCTAACATTCATTATATATAGTTTCAGATGGTTTGAACGTTTTGGACAGTCATACATTAAAATTCCTTTTCTGGGACCTGTTTCATATCTGACGCTGGCGATTTCTCCATTCTGCATAGCCTTTGCAGTTCTGTGGGCAGTTTACCGTCACATCTCCTTTGCTTGGATAGGTCAAGATATACTTGTAAGTGTTGCTGCATTTTCACACTATTCTTTTGTCTAATATCATCTCAGGTGCTTGTATCTCCTCTATTTCCTTTTTTCTCTTCACAGTTTTAACCCTGACCTAGTGGGTAGAGAGTTACACTTATCTAACCATGGTTTTCTTTTTTCCTTTTCTTTTATGGGCTTGGTTGGTGGGATGTCAAACCACTTCTTACCACCTGCTTTGGATTTAATCTTCTTGGTTAGTGGAAATTGTTAAGGTTAACATATTATGATGGAGATAACAAATTTATAGAAACAAAATTTTACCTCGTCAAAAAAGCCTATTCTTCCCATCTATCCTAGCCTTGGTGGGCAAAGTCACCTGGTACCTGTTGCTGGTGGGAGGTGGCAGGTAGCTCGTGGAATTAATCGAGGTGCGAGAAAGTTGTTCCAGACACTACAGTTATAAAAAAAAAATTAAAAATTCCAGAGCAGAAAACCCTTTCTGTGTGCTACAAAAGAAAAAAAAAATCTTTTGCAGATGCTATCTTAAGGATGACACGATATGCTTAAAAAGAGTAGACATGTTTTTTATTTTATTTAAACAGTAGGTATGTGCTTAAAAATGTGGTTGTGAGGGGGGAAATGGAAGCTTTCTTCTATATTATCAGATTACTGGTAACATCTTTGCTCTTGAATTGACGTACCTATGTGCTTGAATTCTTTTCATCTTTGGATTTCAAGAGAATAATATTGGCTTCTGCTTCTTCTTTTTCTGGTGTTCTTTCTTTGAGTTATCAAGTTCTGTTCTCATTGTCTTTTGTTCTCTTGGAACTACTGTACTTCTGGTGCAATTTCCTGTTTCCTGTAAGAACGTTTGATGATTTAAATCTGTAAACATTTTACTCTTTTCCAGACACTTGGAAATATGTTTTTGTTCACCCTGCGACATGGGGGTGTTTTAGGCATATTTTTCAGTGTTGGAATATCAACTCCTATTCTTTGGCTACCACTACTTTCAATAGGTATGATTATATATCTAGACACTAGGGAGAGCTACCCCAACCCCCAAGCTGCAGGAGAAAACGAAAATAGGGTAACTTGATAATTGGATAGCTCTATTTTTATTCTTATTAGTATTGACTCAAGGTAATGGACTGATGATCTCTCTTAACTAGGGTATTGCATTGATCATCACGGTTCTCCAGGTTGTGCAGATTCCAAACCTCAAGGTAAAACAATTCATGCTGCTGTTTTTTATTGTGTTACAGCTTTACAGTTTATATAATGTTTTGGTTTTAGGAAATGGTATATTCCTGGACTCTCTCAATAAAGCTTGAAATTTTACTGTGGATGAGCAATGTCTTAATGTATTGTGGTATCCCTGTTCTCGACATCAACTATTAAGTAGATAAGTGCTCCTCCAAAACCTAAACTCTACAGAAGTTAACCTTTTACTTCAGTAGAAATTCTATTTTGCTTTTCAATTGTCAACAACTAATAAGAAACGAGGAGAAAGTATGGAGAAAGTTGTGAATCACCTTTGACTTACTTCTTTGTATATACATTAAAATACAGAGAGTTACCACTAAGTAATCTCAATTACCCTTTATTCACTTAAATCTTCTTAAGCTCAAGAAGTTTATCAAATGAGTACAGTCCCTAGATGGATAATATAACTCTCTTTAGAGCCACTAAAATGCTTATTAAGCAAATCAAAGACCTGCTCTATTTATTTGGAGAAGAGGGATAGCTCAAGTGGAAAGCCCCTCCACCACCAACCTTAAGGTTGTGGGTTCAAGTCACTAAGGGAGCAAATTACCATATAAAAAAATATTTGTAGAAGAGGTTTAGAAAGACGAGATCATGGTTTCAGAATCCATCATTTGTGTAGTCATCTCAATTCTCCTCCTCCTATTGGGAAAATGCTTCACGGCTGATTTCTCTGCAGTTCATGTTGTATCTCTTTTGTCCTGCAGCCAAACAACTATAAGAAAAAAACAACAGTTTTTACTAATACTTTGGTTCAGGATTTATCTTTTACTGTGTTGATTTATTGGTCCTTCTAGACTTGAATTCTTGGTGAGTAGTGCAAAGATTATCAGTATTACTGGCAGTCTGACATTATCCTTTATTTTCCTTGACTATATCAGGTGGGAACAGTTCTTCTGAGTTGTTCTTTATTGTATGACCTTTTCTGGGTGTTTCTTTCCAAAAGTTTGTTCCATAAGAGTGTGATGATAGTGGTAAGCTCTTTATTTGCTTGTAGAGTTTCTTATTTATGTTGTTTGTGTACTTTTTTCCTTGTTATCAGTTATCACTATGAAACTTTGGCTATTGCTCTGGAAATGTGATCAATTTCTCTGTTGTAGGTTGCACGAGGTGATAAAAGCGGAGAAGATGGCATTCCTATGTTACTGAAAATCCCACGGTTGTTTGATCCTTGGCATGGCTACAGTATCATTGGATTTGGTGACATAATTTTACCAGGTTTACTGGTAGCATTTTCTTTAAGGTTTGACCATGGAGCTGAATGAAACTATTTTTGTTTGTTTTGTTTTGTTTTTATTTTTATTTTCTACCTTGATGTGGTTCCATCAAGTCCTATATTTCTTGGAGGCTTCAATTTTATTTTCAGTATACTTATTTTTCCATTCTCCAAAAGAGCCTATGATTGCCTCTGTGAGACATGGCTGCATAATTAAGTGCTTCCATGTTGAATATTTCTGATTCTTCAGATGAGCAATTTAAGTTAATCTCAAGACTTAAAAGAAAGATTGAATAATAGGTTATCATTTTAAATGATGAATGCTTGTAAGTTCAAAAAATTAAAGCAGTCCAAAGCTTTATACCTTTTTTTTGTTTTTGTTTTTTCCCATCGATTTTGTTCTTTGTTGCAGGTACGACTGGCTGTGTAATAAGAGACTTCGAGATGGATACTTCTTGTGGGCTATGCTTGCTTATGGTTTAGGTATTGATTCTTCAAAAAATGGGAGTAAACTTATTTAGCGCAATGTACTTTTGATTGTGACCAAATGGAACAGCATTTTCTTGTTGTCAATAGAAATGCTTGCTGGTTGGTGTTTTCTATGTTTCATCCCTCTCTCTTTCTCCCTTCTCTTCACCTCTTTAATCTGAAATAGCAGAGGACTATCTCACAGAAATATGCAACTTGATCATGGTTAAGTGATTAACTGCAGTCATGATACTTGGTTTATGCCCATTTTCCTACTAATAACAAATACTTCAATTATAAGTATTTCAGGCATTAGGCGAAGTTTGAGGAGTGATATGTTAGTGTCTGAGCTTGATATGTATGTTTTTTACCATGTCAAGAGAAGTTAATATGTTTTGTGTAAACAATCGAACTATTGCGTATGTATGATGTATTAGCATCCATTTGTACTGTTGATCAGTGTTTTTCAAGATTTAGAACCAATGCAAGTCTCTGTTTGCCTGTTAATTCTTTCTTTCCTTTTACAGGTTTGCTCACTACATATGTGGCACTGAATTTGATGGATGGTCATGGTCAACCTGCTTTGCTTTACATTGTTCCTTTCACACTAGGTATGTTACATGAAGCACAAAAAACATCTCTCATAATGGAGCAGCCAAGCCGATAACATTTGATTCTAGTGATAGTCTACCACTGTGCACTATAATCTACCACCATAAACACACATAGGGTCACTCCATGTAAAAGAAGTGAGAATTAACATCGGAATGAATGAGTGTAAAGAAATGGACCTTCAAGTCTAGAAGCTAGCTTATGAGGTGAGGTATTATCCAAAGTCAATCATTTTAGGAGATGAAAGTTCATTTGGAAATTGTTTTGGTTATTATTTTTGTTCATCTTTTTTTTTTTTTTTTTTCATTTGAGAAGAGAGAGGCTGAAGTTATGAGACACCAGTTGAAGAATGAATCTAGAGTAAAGAAAGCATACGTTCAACAGGCATAAGAGTGGAACTAAAGCAAAGTCGGTGTCTAGATGGCTGAGGGAGAGATGAGGGAGCCCATAGTGGCATATGAGGCTATTGTATTTTGAGAGAGAGAAGTCCAGCGCATTAGAGTTATGAACGAAAAGACGAGGGGTATTACGAGAGAAGAATGAGGAATTGCCCAAGAGTATATAAGTAGACCACTAGTCCATTCCCCAACCAATGTGTGACTCTAACCCACTCTAACGCTAAACAATAAAAGCTTGAACTTTTCATTTTCTATATTAATGCTCATCACTTTAAACATTTGTTATTGCTCATGTTAGGCACATTTTTGACGCTGGGAAAGCAAAGAGGTGATCTCAAGCATCTATGGACAAGAGGAGAGCCAGACAGGCCTTGCCCGCATGTCCGGCTTCAACCAGAGTAACTAGATAGTAGACAAGCCATCAATCTGTAATCCACGCATAACTCTGATTTCTCCATATACACGTTGGTGTATAAGAGTAAAATCGTTCAAGAGGGTAGAACTCTGAAGATAGCTGGACACTTTAGTAGACTGCCCTTGTTGTGAACGCTGAGCAGAGACATATCACTGCTTAGCAGAAAAGCTGAGATGTAGAACTTGTAGTTTAAAGTAGAGTTGTACTGCCCGTGCACCTGCCAAGCTTCATGCCTTAAGCTGTTCAAATCCTGTCACCATCAGGCAGTAGCTGTAATCGCGCTTCTTTGGACGAAGCCAGTGTGCAGTAATTTCATCTATAGTAGGAAAAAAAGACAACTTTTGTATAACACAACTTGTTTTAGCTTACATTGTGCAGCTTTTGTACTAACTTGAGGGCTGTTCAGTGAACAGTAGATGTTATTTACTCAACTATGGTTTTGTTTCTTTGAGCAGAAATCATTTTATTAGTAAGTTCTGTTTACACTTCTAGCAACATTATCTAGCAATTTGGAACCCTCATGACAAACATGTTTTACACAACAGATATATTAAGTGATAATATATGTTCAAATGCATATTATATTGAAATTTGATATAATTGTTCGTTCGATACATTTTAAATTTTTTGCCTTTAAAATAATGATTATGGTTGAGTTGCCAAAGGCCCCAAAAACACAAAAGCAGCAACATGATCATCAACGGCATGTGCGACCGTTAGCGTTGATTTTCGTGAAACACCTTTTGAAACTTTCTCTAACGGTCCCTTCTTTGATAGGAATAGTACATTTTATGACTTCAAAGTTTTAAAAATTACATCCTCTCTACTTTAGTATTTTCCTTCGTCTTAATTTATATGACATATTTCGAATTTCAAGATTCAAACAAGTTTATCTTTAACTGTAAATTTTTCTTTTAAATATTTTGGTTTGTCAATTATTATGCCTTATAACATTTTTTATGTAGTTTACAAATATATAAATTTCATTTCAAAAAAATTGAAAATTTTATGTGCAAATATATTCTCTATCAAATTTAAATTGTTTGAGTCTCGAAAAATGAAATAGGTCACATAAATAGACACACAAGGAGTAATTCCTAATCAAGAATCCTTTTGCTTTTTTGCTTTTCCAGTCCATGTTGTTTTTGTTTTTTCTTAATTTATAGTAGTATATAGTAGTATTAGATAAGGTGATAAAATCTAGAGGGCTTCTTTTTAAGAATTGAACGTTACATTTAATTCAAATCTTGATTTATCAACGGTAAGTTTTAACGTTATGCGATCACCACACAATCACCATTATCAATCACTTTCACCCCAATAATGATTACTATCAACCACCAATTATCATATATACAACCATCACGATTATATGTCACAACAACACAACCATCACCACCATCAGTAAGCTACCACCAAAATTGTGTGCATGCCACTCACTAAGACTCTGCAGCAAATGATTTTGGATTTGTGAATCAGCTTTGTTAATTAATTAAATAGTTTAAAATTAAGATAAAACAAGATTAGCTAACTACATGTTGATTAGCACAAATTGTGAAAATAGTAAAACTTTAGAAAAAGGTTTGTTGTTCAATGGAAAATGAGTATGACAGCTCAACTGACCTGACCCCTCACTTGTTTCTCTTTTTATTGCTACATTTTTCCAGAAACATCTAGCCTAATGCTGCTCTTTAAACTTTATCACACACAAAACTAAAGAGAAAAAGCAAAAATAATTTTTTTTTAAAAAAGAAATGAACCAAAGAGACAAATATACTTGAGTATGAAAAGAACAACTTTACCTAAAATTAAACTTCCCTCCCTAATTCCCATTCTTTCTTTTTCTTCATGTCCTTTTCTTTTTTACATAATTTACACTTTACTCCACCCTTTTATTTCCTTGTTTTAACAGCTAAGCATTTTCTTCACACTCATCATATTGCTTTAAACTGAATTTGGCAAAATATTGATTCTTTTAAGTAATTATATTTCTTTTTCCTATTTATGTCCTCATTAGAGTTTTTTTTTTTTCTGAATACACATTCATAAATAGATAATTTAGTTCACATAGTTAAAGTATGAAATTCTATGCTATTGCGTCTCAAACAGAAATTAGATTGAAATATACAAATAACAGTCACTATTTTTTACTTACTTGACTAGAGAATTATGTAGTTGCTTGATAGTTTGCTTTAAAGTAAATTTATATTTTGTATAGATAAGTTTGAGGGTGATAATAATAATATGAATAATTTGTTATTTTGATGATAACTAATAAATTGCTATCAACAATTGACAAATAAACCTTGCTTTGTCTAGACAAAGAAATCAAATTATGAGTTTTCTTTTAAAAAACTAATACACTTGATAAACATGGAATGATTCTATAGACTTTAATTTCTTAAATAGATTACAAAATTGTCAATTTCTCATAAATTGGATACTTGGTTGACAATATTGGTAACCTCAAGGGTCACAAATGAAAAAGTAGACAATATTTGTCAGCAAAGGGAATTCCCTCTATAAAAAGAATCACCATCTCCACAATCTTGACAACACACAAAGCAAAAGTTGTTTTCTTTGGCATAATCTTGAAGAGTTTTTTTGTAAAAATGGAGGGGAAAGAAGAGGATGTGAAGGTTGGAGCAAACAAGTATTCAGAAAGGCAGCCATTAGGGACTTCAGCACAGAGCAAGGACTACAAGGAGGCACCACCAGCACCATTTTTTGAGGCTGGTGAGCTACATTCTTGGTCTTTTTGGAGAGCTGGGATTGCAGAGTTCATGGCTACTTTTTTGTTCCTTTACATAACTGTATTGACTGTTATGGGTTATTCAAGGGCTAATAACAAATGTAGTACTGTTGGTGTTCAAGGCATTGCTTGGGCTTTTGGGGGTATGATTTTTGCCCTTGTTTACTGCACTGCTGGCATATCAGGTATACATATATCTCTCTTGACTCTTTTTTACATACATGGTTTATGTATTCACCCTAAAGTTGTGTGTTTGGCTTCAAAGATGAGAGCTTTAATGTGTCCTTTTCACCTCTCTAGTTTGTGTATTCACCTTAAGTTGTGTGTTTAGCTTCAAAGTTGTAGTCTTCTATCATGTTAGTGATATTTTGCTTCATAGATGAGAGATTTATTTTTTGTCCTTTTTACCTCTATAGTTCATATATTCATCTAAAATTGTGTGTTTAGCTTCAAAGTTTGAGTCTTTTTTCCTTCAAAGATGGGAGCTTCAATGTGTTTTTCTTACTCATGTAGAAGGAAAACAAAAAACCTATCAAGTTGCAGTCTTTACCAGCTTTTGAGTTTATTGTATCTAGTACTCTGGAGTTTCATATAAAAACAAAATTAGCATTTCCTTTTGGACCATATGGTGAACAAAATTTTTTTTTTCTTTTTCTTTTATGTAATGTTGTTATTGTCTTTTTAGATATGCTAATGGTGTTTCCTTCTGCTAGAGCTTGATTAAATTCTAAGTAGTACCTTAGCCAAAGATGGCCAGATCCTGGAGAATTGGTTTTTTAATAGAGTTTTAAGTTCTATCACACAATCAGATTACTTATTAAGGCAGGTTACAAGTAAATTTCTTTGATAAAAATTAAATGTTAACCAAGTAAAAATGGTAATTAAGTAACTTGCTAACATAAGTTAAATTACTCTTAATAGTGCAAGAAGTCTTTATCTTTACTTGAGCCAAGGGTCTAAGGGGTAAGGTCTGTGTACACACCACACTCCTCATACCCCACTTGTGAGATTACACTAGGTATGTTGTTGTTGTAGTGCAAGAAATCTTTGTGCCGCTAACAGATATAACTTGAGTTCTTTAAATTTGTTCTTTGTGTTCTTACCTTGAGAAAATTCTTGGTTTTGATCATCAGGTGGACACATTAACCCTGCTGTGACATTTGGTTTGTTTCTGGCAAGGAAATTGTCCCTAACCAGGGCAGTGTTCTACATTGTGATGCAATGCCTTGGTGCAATCTGTGGTGCTGGTGTTGTCAAAGGGTTCCAGCCATCTTTGTTTGAGACTAAGGGTGGAGGTGCCAATGTTGTTGCCCATGGTTACACCAAGGGAGATGGCCTTGGTGCTGAGATTATTGGCACTTTTGTTCTTGTCTACACTGTCTTCTCTGCTACTGATGCCAAGAGAAATGCTAGAGACTCCCATGTCCCTGTGAGTACTTAGTTGACTTCTCATTTTGAGCTTAATTAAATGGATATGTATGCTAACTCTGGGTTGTGTTTTTTAGATTTTGGCTCCTCTCCCAATTGGATTTGCAGTGTTCTTGGTTCATTTGGCTACCATCCCTATCACAGGCACTGGCATTAACCCTGCCAGAAGCCTAGGTGCTGCCATTGTCTACAACAAAGAACATGCATGGGATGATCATGTAAGTTTCCTATATTATTTTCTTAATAAAAATAGTTATCTCGTGTAATCCCAATAGTGGGATTTGGAGAAGATAGAGTATACCTAGACTTCATCCCTATCTTGAAAAGTAGAGTAGAGAAGTAGTTTCTGATAGACACTCAGCTCAAGGAATTTCAAAACAGTTTGGAAAAAGATATAGGAAGCGAAGAAGTCATGACAAAGTATGCTGACATGTGCGATAAGGATTCATAGATGACTAAGATGAGTTTAAATGAAGCGACATGCATGATAAGGATTCATAGAGCTAGTGACAACTTGAGACTGAAGCGTAGTTATCGATATGAGTTGCTAAAAGATTTCCATTTTTTCTTTGTTTTGAAAATGCAGTGGATTTTCTGGGTGGGACCATTCATTGGAGCTGCACTTGCTGCCTTATACCACCAAGTTATCATAAGAGCCATTCCATTCAAGAGTGGAAACTGAGAAACACCTTGGCCTATTGGCTATGGCTATGTCTTGTTTCAGTATTTGGTTACTTTGCTATGATTGACAGTGATGTTCATTAATGTTTAATTATCATGTACAAAAAGCTGCTGTAATGCTTTATTATTGTATTGGTTCTTGAATTTATCTTATTTATTCTACCTTTCATTATGGCATTATTATGTCTGTCATCTTTTTTGCTTAGAGTTTTAACTTCTGGTGGTGTGATTTTTCTTTATATTATCAAATCAGTTATAAATAATTACAAGTAAATTTGTATGCTAAACATTAATGATAACTTGGTTAAAATGGCAACTGACTTGTTATTTCAAGTGTAAAAATGTGTTGCTATATACCTTGTAGTCATCTGCAAATAACATACACCATGACACCTCATCTTCAATATGTCGCGTTAAAACATCCAGCACCAAGTGTGTATATATATATATGAATAAGTGAAATTCTATTGTTATAATGTAGCACATTTAAAAATGTTCAGAACTTGTAACTTGTAAGGCATTTAAAAAGAAAAATGGAAACTTGGAAGGCATCTTTTTGGGTGGGCTAAAGCAAAAGTGGGCCAATATATAAATGGGCTAAGATTGGACATTGGATCCTTCAAAAGGAGCCCAAAGTTTCT